CAGGTATATCTTACATAGATCTCATTACCTTCAGGAGACTGGAAAAAATATTAGTTACCATGCTATATGACAGGAATCAGGTAAAAAAAAAATCCATATTGTCATACCAGTAAATGTAAAGGTGATGTTGTGGGACCTTTGGCTGATATTTTCTCCCAGAGACCTCTCCGAACATAATGGACAGTGGTCCCAGCAATATTGAATGTTCCTGAATGCTCTATCTTCCAGTCACTATTGATTGACTGTTTTCCAGCATCTCGAAGAGCTGCAAAATATATGAAAAAAGACCGATATAAAAGGTGTCTGTTCAGTACTGATCTGGGCCCCCATCATTTCCTGTTTGGAAAATTTAAACAGTAGGTGAAATCACATAACTTTGTTTGCAGAGATATTTATGGATCCTACTATACATGCACTTCAACTGGAATATGCTTCAGAAACACTTACTGGAAGAAATGCTTGGCAATACCATGAATGTTTAACATTACCTGAAGTTAACATCAGTGTTTTAATGCCTCAAGAGACTGACAGGCTCCAGCATAATTCATAATTTGATAACTGTATTCATTTAAGGGAAAGGCAATCATTCTCTGTTCCCAGAGTGGTCATTTCTATAATCCATAAAGGGATGGGAAACAAAATTTTCAGAAGACATTCTTCAAGATTTGTGGAACTAAGCTAAAACTTCAAAAAAAATCCTAGTGTAAATTCTTTCCCCTCTAATAACTACATTTGCCTTTTTTTCCAACTTAGAATGTAACAATACTACTGTCATCCCTCCTAAACACTTATTTTGTACACTTTCACCACATAATTTGATGCTTCTAACAAATAGAAAAAGCTTGTTGTTTTTGTCTGAATCATTCCTCTTGTTGGCCTAATTTATATTCAAAAGCAGCATCAAGTCAGGTAAGATCTATTTCATATGTTGAGAACACACGATTTCACATTAGTTTTCTAAAGTAAACTGAATAGATTCTTATGTGAAGGACTTGTAATTTTATTTTATTTTACTTTATTTTATTTTGTTCAAATCAGGTCTGAATAATCACATGAAGTAGAATATATTCGAAGTTACCTTCTGGACAAGAAGCTTTATACATTCCTCTTCATTGAAATTGCATGTTTGGCATAAGACTGTTGTAAGACAACCTCAGCAGTTTAAGCCTTGTCCAAAATTTCTTTTTTAAAGTTGTAAGTTAACGTGAGTCACTCCTGTAATCATCTTCTCTCCTATCCATATTTATACTGTTATGTTTTGTTTCTATGGGAAACAATGGCAACAGGTCTATGGACTGGCAGAAATACTAGTGCATGAGACACCCGTGATGTGTACCACTGCAGCACTGTGTAATAAATGTTAAGAATATAAAATCCATTAATGCTGTAGAACAGTGTTACTGTACTAAAAATAACCAGTGATTTTACTAGATTTAAAGATTGGTGGTTTAGGTTTAAACATTCTACTATTAATGGTAATTAAGTTCTATTTAGTGTTTATACTGTAGGGGCCAACCCTCTTCCCAGTGGAGAAACAAAACAAATGTACTTGAAAGCCCCAAGGTCCAGTCGGGTCATGCTGCTCACATGGAGCAGCATCCTTTCCCTGGAGAGCAGCAGACCTTGCATAATTTTGTCTTGTCTTTAAAATGAACGTGTGTGCCACAGCACACAGACATGGGCAGGGGACTAGAATCCCAGGCTCAGAATACAGAAATATACTACACCTTGCATTTTCTGCTTTCAGATTCCCCACTTGAGCCACTGGGCTTAGATGAAGCAAGAAAGGGTATCCTTCAAGACTAAAATTTAGGCTTGGATTCAGGCAGTCCAGCTTCTGTTCTTGACTCTGTTACACCTCACATTGTAAGCAAGTCCACTGAGTTTTATTCCACACAATACACCTACGCCCACTCTGCTTAGCTTTCAATAAAGGAGGATTTCCTGTACAAAGTAATGCAATACAGGAAGAAAATTCAGCACACAAGTGTATCCTCTCTCAGGCTATAAAACAAATCGAGCAATACATCTACAACTAAAAAGACAAACACAGAAAACTCAGATGGGGAAAACCTACTGCAACTGTAGCCAAGACCAAAATTTGAGTGCTAAAAAAAGGGATGTAATTAAAAGCGTATCTCTGCAGAACACAAAATTATGTCATTATGACAATTAAGTGACGGTGATGAGTGCAATGTATTTTTAATTACTGTACTAGGGATACACACTCTTCCAATTTTAATGAGGTGCAAGAGGCTACACAGCCATAGAAATGCAACATTTTGCAGTTCAGCTATTAAACCTCCCAGCGTTCAGTGGGGAGCAACAGTGCCCTGGTCTCGGTCCTCCAATTGGTAAATTTGTGCCTATTAATCCTTTTCCTGTTTTCTATGGAAAACTGTAAAACACTGCACCACTCTATTAACTTTGAAATTTGTGCTTAAATTGAAATTGCCACACTTTACAGAGACATTAAGAAAAAAGGCATTTGTACCAAAAGAGGGAAGTTGCCATCTTTGTGAATTGTGAATTTTGCCTTTTGCTCTGTGCAAAATTCATTGGAGAGTATTCCAGAAAAGCACCAAAACAATGTTATTTTGACTGACACTTATTTTTCTCAAGTAAATTGATAAATACAAAAAAATACCTGAAATTCAATTAAAAAGGTACAAGAGTACCTTCAACAATATCTTTTGTCAAAGAAGTAATTGCTTCACTTCCATTCAGGTAATCATGTGTTCCCTTCAAGGCATCTTAAGAACATTAAGACTTGAGATTTGAGTAACTTTTTGAACTTTCAACTGAGGTAAGGCTGGCTGGTCAGTAGTTCCTAGGGTCCTCCTTATTGCCCTATTTAAAAATGGTGGAATACTTCCTCTTCTCCGGTCACTGGGGACGTCACCTGACTGCCATGACTTTTCAAATGTGATGGACAGTGGCTTGGTAACTACATCAACCATTTCCCTCAGGACCCCTGGATGCATCTCATTGAGTCCCATATACTTGTGTCTGTTCAGGTTCCTCAGGTGGTCTTGAACCTGGTCTGTGATGGGAGGGACTTCATTCCAGTAGTCCATGCCTTGATATTCAGGGACTTGAGAAATGTAGGAGGAGTGTTTACCACTGAAACCGAGGCAAAAAACTGTTGAGCACCCTAGCCTTCTCCATGTTTGTTGTCATTAGTTCTTCTGTCTTATCACTGTGTGTTTGTGTGTGTGTACATTTTCTTTAATCTTCCTTTTCTGATTAACATACCTGTAGACGCCCTTATTATTCTTTGCATTCCTTGTGAAATTCAGCTCCAACTGTGCCCTAGTTTTCCTGATCACATCCCTACATATCTAAGTAGTGTTCCTACATTCTTCCCAGGATATATGTCCCTGGTTCCACTGCCTATGCATTTCCTTCTTACATTTCATTCTGACCAGGAGGTCCTTGCTCAGCCATGCTGGTCTCCTGCCTTCCTTGCCTGATTTGTTACGTGTGGAAACTGAGAGCTCTTGCAACCTAGGAAAGACATCCTTAAAGAGCTGCCAGCTCTGTTTTGCTCCTTTGTCCCTAAAGTCAGTTTCCCAGGGGCTGTAATCCACTAATTTCTCCTTAAACAACTGAAAGTTCGCTCTCCTAATATTCAGAGTCCTGGCTTTACTCTTCACTTGGCCCATATCCCTCAAGATTGTGAGTTCCACCAGGGCACGATCACTGCAGCGCAGGCTGCCACCAATCTTGACCTCTCTAAATAGTTTGTCTGGGTTGGTAAACAACCAACAAGGTCTAGTAATGCTGTTTCTCTGGTTGGACTGTCTATGACCTGAATTAAGAAATTATCCTCAATATACTCCAAGAGTCTCCTGGACTGTTTACAACTTGTTGGGTGGTTTTCTTCCCAGCAGATGTCAGGTTACTGAAGTCCCTAAGCATGATCAAAGTCTGCAAGGGTGATACGTCCTGTAGTTGAAGTAAGACGGTTTTCATCAACAGCCTCCCCTTGGCTGGGCCGCCTTTAGTAAACAACAATCACAACGTTTCCTTTGTTGGTTTGGCCCCTAATATTTACCCATAAGTTCTCAACCTATTCACAGCTGTTTTTCAAAGACAGCACTGTGAAGTCAATCAGTTTTTTTATATAGAGGGTATTTGTTTCATCTTGATGTAGAATGGTTTCAAAGGTGTTACTAACCATCTTGTATGGACCTCTATATATGAAAAGAAAAGGATTTAGTCTCAATGGACTCTGGTCTCTGTTACAGGACCAGGTCCTTGACTGGCTTCCCTTGAAAACAGAAATTACACGGTCTAAGGATTTGGTCCATGTTATTTTAAAACTATCAGCACTGTCAGAAATAAAGGAATGAAAATTTTGTATTGTTAGACCCCATCTGCTTTCCCACATCTTCCTCCCCCAAAACGTGGTCCAGTATTTTTTTAACTGGGAAACACATTTTATAAAGGAACTCAGACAGGAACACAGCACACCTATGGACTTGATACCTGTAAGAGAATGGGCAATTACAATGTCATGCAGTGTTAAACTGCAGGTCCATAAGATCTATATGCCTGAAACAGCTTGATCATATATTTGAGAATAATGATACAGCTAATACACTTTAGTTCAGCTGAAAACAAATAATTGCTCTCATTTCCAATTAGCACAGAAAAATTTCAGGTTTTAGATTGTAAGTAATTTGTATAGTTACATACCACTAACAAATCTTATTAATTCATTATAGGGCCAGGACCTGTCATGCCATTATACAAGTGTCACATGAATGAGGTCTCTAATCTCAAAGCCTGTTGTATCTCTTATACAAAAATACTGTAATCTTCCTTTTTGTATCCTACATTAAGAACTCTTTTTTGAAAAAACTTTTAGCACCCGCTAAATATAAATTAAAATTTAGCAACAGAAAAAGCATTATTTTAGACAACAGGAATCTAGATAATGCATGAAACAACTTTTTTATAGCTGTTCTTACAATAATTTTTTAAAGTAACTGCCAATGAACCAAGTCTCATGTCAACATGTTTATAAGCAGACAGGGTTATCACTGCTAGTTTATTTTTAAAAAAGAAATCTCAAAATTCTTTCTTAAATAAATTAATTCTAATTTCAAAATTAGCAATTATATACTTTAGGAAATATTCTCAAATTAAATAAACAGTTCCCACTGTCCCTCTTCCCCCCCAATAATTCCTATTTCTGGATACTCTACTGATGAGAGAAGAATCACAATCTCTTATGCATTTTCTCATATAACTTCAATAGGAAAGGATACCTAGTGTTTGTCCATATCTCCGGTCCTACCTGCCCACAGGGGAGAAAGGACAGTACAGACCTCAACAGATCAATTGATTCAGTACATGCAGTTGCAAGTTATACTTTTTCTTTTCTCCTGGGATGCCAGAGGTCCCGTTACTGTGGTGTATGTTGATATACCTCAGATAAAGAGGATATCTGAGGTGTTCAAAAGAACTCCTCTGAAGATTTGCTTCAACAGCACAATCACCCAGTGATGCTACTGATGTGTGCTTCACTTCAGCAACAATACAGCAGCTTCTAGATCATAGTGACTGCTTCCTGACCACCAAGTAAATCCAGAGAAGCACATTTCCCTTTGACTCCCTCTGTATTTGATCTGACCAGTAAGCAGCATGACTGACACTATTTTATGTGCATAAAAAGCATTACATTATTTTTGCCTTTTGTAAAGTAATGGATGAATCAGTTTGCTACTAATGAAAAAGGAATTAATTTCCTTAAATACAGTTCCAACATTTATTTACTTTTACATCATTTAAAAATTAAAAATAATAGCATTTCTGTTGTCCACAAATGTTAACACAGTAGACACAGAGGGGAAAAAAAACTTGGAAAATTTAAAAAATATGTCACTAAAACTTCAGTTATCAATTTGACACTCTTACGTATCCATTTCTATGGTTCACTGCAGAACAATGAAATAATCCAGATCTCCAGTCTATCTCCTGTGATATCTTAACAGGGCAGGTACAGACCTCACAATAAACCAAGAGTTACCCATTGATAACTTAGGCTGTCATAATTACGATTCACCATCTTCAACATTCTCTCAAAGTATTTGAGAACACTCAGGTAAAAAGTTTCTTAAAATGTTGATATTACTTATGAGCAGAACTAATAACAGTGATCAAATCAGATAATTTTTCATTTCATTGTCCTGTTTCTCATACTAAGTCTCTCTCAATTTAAATTTAAGCAGTGCATGGAACAGCACCAATAATGATATTTTATATATTAATTTAAACCCTGTAACAGTAATAGTAATAAATTACACTGTCCTACACAACAGCTTTAGAACTCATTAAAAGAGAAAACTCTTCAATGAATGACAATTTCATAGAAATTGAAAAACTAAAAAAAAGAATTATTTTTTATTAATTTGTCCGTTAAAACTTTCAGGCAATTCAAAATAACTCAAAGAAATAATTTTCTGCTTTCTTAGTCTAATTTCAGAACTTTTGTTTGACTTTGTTGGTGATTTGCTATATGTTGGTCAGTGTGGTTTCTTTTGTTATCTGAGCACAAATTATTCCATGTTTCAGCATAAAACTCTTTTCACTAATTTTAAGGTGAAGTATTTCCTATGAAAAATTGAAAATGTTAAGGTATGCAGAATTTTTCTTAAATAATCTAAATGCATTATTTGAGACATTCTCTAAACAAAATGAGATGAGACAGAAGTTCAAATAAAACCTACGTGAAGAATGGTGCTATAAGAGTTCTTTCATTTTATTATTTCTACAAAATTTCTTTAGATGGTATTCTTCACAGATTTTTTTTTTTCACTCAGAATTTTGTTTAATCACAAAAGCATGTTTGGCTAGCACTCTTCAGTGCTGACCAAAACAGGACACGAACACTAAAACATAAAACATTTACCTAAATAACTATGAGCTGGTTTTTCTTCCACAACTTTGATTCTCCTTGCTCCTGCAGGTATCACCAAAGCTTCCACATAACCTAGACATGAGACCAGATGTCCCGAGTTAAATACTAAAGCATGGGAAAGTACATCTTGTATTTTTTTTCAATTCTTCTCCCCTATTTCACTTTTTAAATGTAACAACTTATAATTTACATAGCAATGGTTTGAGGGTTCTTGCAAAATGTTGAAACAAGAAATAAAACTGTGCACTATGTGTATATACAATTAAAAGAGTGTAGCAAAGTGAAACATAACAAGAACTAGTGAGGCTGGGCAGGCTGGGGCTGGTGCAGATGAAGTTGTCTCTGGCCAAGTGGCTTAGTGTCATCATTACACCACCAGATGACCACAAAATAATTTCAACATCACTCAGCGTGAAGACACAAATGACATGGCACTAAAACCCAAACATCCTCTCACTGTCTGTTTTTGGCTTTTGTTTTGTTTTTTTCATATTTTGTGCTCCATCTCCCTCCTCTTGCTTTAACACATTCAAACCCTGTTACAAATGGCTTTATTTTGGATGTCTGCTTATGAGTTATTTACTTTACATTACAATTGCTTCCTTAGAGTGTAGGACTAAAACATGCTGTTGAGCAATTTGCTTTAAGTAAAAAGGGTGAAAAGGCAACGGAGGTGAAAAACATTGTGCGTGCAGTAATGTTATAAATAAATAAAAACATATCTTAGATTACTGGGTGGACTTCAAAAAGTGGACAATAAACCAAGTTTTCATTTCTTGTAGCTAAGTAATGTTCTATAACAAAATACAGAGCATTTATACCACCTTTTCAATAATCCTGAAATGTGAAAATTAAATTGCTGCAAAGCAGCATTATTTATCTTTTATTTCCTTGAGAGCTACTAATATTTTCTAAGTATTGCTGATAGTCCGGTTTCTTGAGAAGGAAAAGAACTTAAGCAGTTGTTCAGAGGGCAATACCACAACATTGTGGGTTGACACAGAACCCTGAATAAACTTGAAAGTGTGCAGATATTCACATTAGCTATAAAAGACAGCTGACACATGGAAATTTCTATTAGCAGCCACTTTCTTTGCAGTCCTCCAGACTCATCCGTGGTTTGGGATCCTTGCTCTGCATTACCTTCAGCTTAAGAGAGGGCCAGCCACAAACATCTGAAGACTATGCCTGACTTTTTTTAAAAAATGTATTATACTTTGGTCTATAATGCATTGGAGTCTTTGATTTTTCAAAGATAGACTGTCTGCTTCTAATTACTATATTTTCTTATGTGATTTACTTACTGTCCTGAAATTCTCCACATTTTCTACTCAAGAAACTGAAAGTGTGATGGAAAACAAATGCTGAAAACTGTTGGACAAATACTGTTTCAAATAAAAGACTTTTCTGGGAAAAAGGTATACATAGTGCGTGGTGCATGTTATTAGGATTTCAGTCTTCCACTCTGACAACAGTATGGTGCTAGAATGAGTCAGAACAGATCACAGCAGTGTTTGAAAATTTCATGTTCATTCTGCATCAGAAAATCTACTTGCTTTTTATGAAATGCTATTAGCATAAAAGCAAAGATATAAGGCTTCTTCACACATTCAGCTTTATGTTCTCCCACTGCCTGACTTGATTTAATGATGTTACTCTAGGTAAGAGATCATAATTTGGAAATTTACTTTGAAGAACACTAAATGAATCTAAACATTATAAGAATTTACAGTTCATTTTACGTACTAAAAACCCACAAATTTTATTTCACGCATCTTTAAAAAATGAGGCTTTTCTGTGAAATATGTGTATCTTAATGGAAGATGAATTAGATAATGCCTTAATTTTATAATTGAAACAATTTGCAATAATTTTGCAAAGAATTAAATTTAAAAATACTCAAGCAGTTTTATCTTAAGTGTCTTATTATCTTAAAAAAGTAGATCTGAAGTTCTTGTGAGAAGCTGCATAATTTTAAGCAGTACAGCTTTTTAAAGTTCCCAATGCTCAAAGTAATCAAACAGCTGCCAGTTTTCTGAGTATTTGAAATAAACAGTCTCACCTGCTCCTCTGGTATGGTTAAAATCACCTTTAATAACTTTACATGACTTTCCATTACCATTGCATACACCACAATGATCTTCACGAGCCAGAGATCCTAATATGCCATCACAGCCAAATTTCTGTGGGAGAAGAAAATAAAGCTATTGAGACACAGATCACGTTTTTCATAAAGCTGTCTAGCAGTATGCATCTCACCCTTTTGCAAGACGCCCTAACCAACATGATCTAGCCCTGTTCCGAATGAGAGTTGCATTAGTTCATGTGCAGAGATCCCTTCCACAGAAATTTTTGCTGATTTTATGTAGATTGTTGCATTTGCTCTTCCTGTATGGTTGGCTAACTCTACCAGCTGCTCTCCAAGAGGAACACAACAGCATTTCCACCTACCCCCAGGACCTATGGACCTTCTGAGCCACTGTGCAACACATGCTACACAGGCTCTCCTGCTCAGCAACTGCAACATGTGCAACTCCATTGCTTTCTACTCAAAATACGGGAGGTTCTTTGCTATATCCACAATGGTAAAGTGCTGTCTAATGTCAGCCTTATGTCTCCTTCTGAATAGGATGTGAACACACCTAGAATATGTAAATATAAATTGTATTTGTGTTTTGCTAAAAAGCATTGAGTTTAAAACAAATTAAGTTTACTCAAGCACCTCCACATCGCTATGTTAGACACATTTTTATCAAAAAAATATCAGGGGTAGCTTCACAACAGGAATAAAGTTAATATCATATGTGGCCTGATATGAAATAAAAGCCTTTTGAAGTCTAAAGAAGTCATCATAGGGTAATCTGATACTCTCTATAAATGCATCTGATAAAACCAATTAAATTTCAAGACTGTTAGATAAATAATGAAGATAAAAGCTAGGTTAAAGGGAAAATAAAGGATTCTTTTAAGAACAGAAACCAGAGCCAATCAACGAGCCACTCATTTCAAAGCACGTTAAGACTGTTACTCTCGCTTTACGCAGAGAATTTTCATTATGAGTTCTTCTACCTAAAAAATTAATACAGATTTCAAAATACCAATCACAGTGCAAGTAAAGAGCAAAACTGCCCATCTACAAGTTATAAATATGTAGTAGACCAGCAGAGTTCTTTGTAGTCAGCGCGCGGGGCACTTAGCAGTCAGCGCGCAGAGTTCTTGGACACCACCCAGACGAGCCAATTATGATGAAAGTGTAAGCCATTTATTGTGTGTTGTGTGCATGCTTTTATACAGAGCTCTTTAAGATTTGGCAGCTACTGATTGGATACAATAATTTTAAATTCTTAACAACAAAATCACTACTGGCTACTTTCAATCCTGGGAACATAACCTTCGAAGCTATGTCAACACAACCTCTAAAATAACTTAGTTGTGCTAATTAATTTCTTTCAGTTTCTCCTTACCTTTCTCATGTCCTGTATAACTGGATGCCTCTGCACATCTGGTTGTTTTTCTTCTTTCCCAGGATCCTTTATCAACCTTATAATTACGAAGCCTAAAGCTAGTATCATAGCTAAAATTCTGCTTCAGCACAAAGCGTCCCTACATAAATTCCTAACTCCAGAGTTGTAGTCCTTGAAATTCTTCCTAATGTGTTGTCTAAGAAGAGAGGGTAAAATGTGGAAGACCTTAAAAATTAGACTTTCAAATCTGACTAGCACCCATCTCTTTGACTCATGATATTCCAAGAAGCCAACACAGTGTCAGTCAGGTGGGTTTGGTTTAAGACTTTTTTTGGTCTTTATTAGTCAGTAGTGAAAAGTGAATGATAAAAAAAATTACTTTTTTTTCCAGGAAAAATGGGCTATATTATCATCTTTATGATTAAACTTGTAATTGTTACATGGTGAACAAAAGCCTCAACTCAGCAAAGTAGTTAAGAGTATTCTTTTTGCACACACTCAGTCACTCATGAAAGGATAACTATATGTACATATATGTATTTGTATGCATACGTACATGCATGCGTGTATCTAGAAGTTAATTTGTTGAAGTTATTACAGTATCTAGCAATGCTGTTTCTATGGTAAAGGTTGGGTTTTGTAACTGAATTCAATGTGTGCAATGAGAAGCGGACAAAGGAAAAAAGCAGCCCTGTGGGATTTTTATATAGAAGAGTTTCCATATGAGGCACTATAAAAGTGACAAAAGAACTCCTATGAATCAAATTAATTCTGAGGATCGTGAACAGCATATGCACTCAGCTTTAATTATCTGTTACTCTACTCCTTCAGTCTTGGTTTATTTAGATGTAAAATTTGGCACTGTTGAGAAAGGCAGAACTAGATGTACATACATACACCCCTTGGCAAAATTTCCCAACCTGTTGAAAGCTGAGGCTTCCCTTAGAAGATGAAATCAATTATACTAATTTTCCACTCTGCAGCAGTTTGCTACATGCATCCTTACCATCACAGATACACATTCCACAAGCTAACCCTTCAGCTACTCCACATACTGTGTTGCCCTGAGTGAAATCACTTTAAAATATTTTAATATGGTTCAAAAAGAGCCATTCAATCTTGGTCATGCATATTGCAACATCGTATCAGAGAAATAACACATATGTGTAGCAAATGTACGTGCTTGCATACATCTGCCTGTGTATCCAGGTTTGAAACAAGTAATTCATACCTGGCATCTACCATCTGCACAGACATCTAACCCATGCTGGCCGCAAGAAGTCCCATCCATCACCTTTTCTGTTAGAAGAATGGGTTGATCCTTTCCAGCCGGTGAACAGAATAAGGCACATGGCTTTTCTGTAGAAGCAATTGATGGAAAAAACACCAAATTGGTAAAAGGTCACTTAACAAATACAGAATTATTATCAACATTATTTTAAAAACTAATATTTGCTTATCTGTGTGGCATTAATCTATGTTAGTATAACAAGTTATCTTAGACACAGCGAAAACAAAACAATTTTGATCCTTCTATCTCAGCTGTTTGAAAAACTCGACTTCTTTTTCCTGCTAGAGCATATTGGTGGTACAAGTTTGGCCTACATAGTACTCACGTCATGTTCATTGTTGCAATTAAGAATATGCATGTTACAGCTGTTGGAATATTTTGGTTGTAATCTATACTTTCATTCTACTATATTTTTGGCAGATCATAAACATTGGTTAAAAAAGAAACTTAACACTTTCCAGATTTTCTAACCATGAAGGTCAAAAAGAAAAGAATTAAGCAACTGAGACATCCTGGGAAGAAAAATATATGGATTTACAAGGCCTACATAGGAAAAAAAAAAAAAACCACAAACAACCAAACACATTCTTTCTAGCAACTTTTCCAAGGTCAGGCAATTTTCTACCACATTTCTAAAACATTCTGCAAATAATTTCTAATTTTGAAATAGAATAAAAAAGTAATACTATCCTATGTATCCATGTATTCCTAATGATCATCATTTATAAATAATGAAGCTTGCTTCATCACTGCCAAAGTAATACCAAATAAAATAAACTAAGTCTCCTCTCAGTGGTCAATTGAGTACAAAATTACATGAGTTTTTTCATATCTTTATTTGCTAGTGTACCGACTCACAACTTCTTCCTAAATTTGTTGCAGATTTTTGAAAGGATAAAGACAATCCTGAACTTGAAACATATTTCACTTGGACACAGTCTACACTACTCTGACTTCATACTGACTTCTAGATTCCTGGAGAGTGTTTTTATTAGTAAATTAAACAGTTCCAGGAAACACTCATGGGCACTGGAATTCTACTGTCTATACAGCTGAACTGTAAAAAAGTCTATGCCACATTTTTTTGCATGTGCTAACTAGCCGTAGTTCAGTCTAGACTGGAAATTGCCACCTGCAAAGGACCATTTCCAAAAAGCAGTTTGGATGTCACCATCATTTTTAGAGTGCAAAACAGACGAAAAATTCAGACACCGGGCTCCCATACCAGCTGACTTACACATCAGAGTGTGGTCTGGGCACATTTAATTTACTAGAATTGACACAGCCTCTGGGTATCTCTAGGGAACTGGTGCAAACAGATGTGATTCTTCCAACTGTGAAGGCAGTCAGACACAAGCCAGCTCCAGCAGAGAAAAGTGAGAAGCAAGTCTCTGCCTGAGTCTGTGCCCTCTACATTCCTGTTATGCTCCTTAAATAGTAATCCCAAAGTTCTCTGTGAGGTTTGAGAATGTATCAGCATTTTCTAAAGGAATACAAGATTAACAACCTAAACATTTTTTTTAGGACACTGAATTCAAAGAGACAGTAACTCAACAACACTGGACCACTTCAACAGACCATAGGAGACCTCATTCAAATACAACAACTATTTTTGGGCATGGTGCACAGCTAGTGTCTACTAAAGGCTCAGAGCACGAATAATTAAGGATTTATGAACAATGTGATTCTCTAATAGTGGAACTCTTTAGCTGGTGTCCACCTTTGTGTCTCCTGAGTGACATCGCAAGACAACAGGATCACTCAGAACAAAGTTAGATGAAAGCAACCATCCAGACTCCTTACCATGGGACAGGAGAGTGTCAAGATTTTTCATCAGGTTGAGTGAATTATTCAAAGTCAGGCTGAAACTTTTTGATCCCTTATGATATAAATTGTGTGTTCCTGTGCTAAAATGAGATTTAGTAAAACAAACCAAACCTAATTCACCAGATAAGCACCCATAAAGTAGCTGGAGAGAGTTCTCCTTACTATGAAATGAGCAAACATACAAGCCTAATGAAAACAGTCTCACAAGTTTTCACTTTGGCACCCTGAGAAAAGGCTTAGAAGAAAAAAAATCCCTTGTTTAGCTAGGCATTTATTAAAACAAGTTCTTGATAATAAATTCACATTTTTTGGGATTCAGCAAAATAGTTCCCTTAAAATGTATACTTTCTAATGTTTTCTGATAATTTGTTTCAAGAATTAAATATGAATGGCAATAATAATAATGAACCACTTAAAATGTGGTGACACATACTAACAGTACTTCTGTGTCATTCCAGGCTCTTCTTTATCACCAGTTGCTATGATTTTGTTAATTTCTCAAATTAATTGTTTTAGTGACTAAAGTCTTTCTGTTGCTTTCTTGTTTTCTTTTTTTTCTTTTTTTGAATTAAATAAATTACATCATAACAACTTAAGAGAAAATTCAGTGGAACGGCAGCTGTTCTTCATATTCCTAGCAAGAACTTGGGTAGAATGCTTTGTTTTCTAGTTGCTGACAGTTTACACCAACATTATCTTTGCAGATACTGTAAATTCGATGTTACTACACTCCTGCTTGAGCACACTCCTAATGATGTGGCATCTAAACAATTTTGTTACACTGAAGCATGCAAGCGATGTGCCAAGACATTGCATGCAGTAGCTGTTAGGATTTATAGAAATCTTACCTAAGTTTGCAATATGCATTACACATGGATTTCTGCCAAAATCAGGCACTGGTATGTGAAATACTCAAGTATTCAGCTAAAAGTGCTCTCTCCTTCCTCAAAAATAGAAGCTCACAATATCTGTATTGTCTTTTTTGCTTTGTAGGTAGAAGTATAACTGACATACACGTGCTTAATGATGTAGCATTCCTCTAGAAAGCTGTACTTCTGAGTCACTTCATACTACATTTCTGACTAAGTAGGGCCAAACTGATACTGAATCTCAGTTCAAATGTAGTCAGGAAGGACAAATTCAATATGAACATAAGACAGAAGATTTCAGAACGTGTGAAAACACCACCAGATCTTGTCTATGAAATAAAAATTACTTACCAAAATGCTTGGGCTTGGGGTTTATTTGTTCGCTTGCTTTAGTTTTTACCATATCTTTTTCAATCAACAATACCAACAAGGTATAAGCCATATGAAGAGATGATAAGAACATGGGAGATGGTTTATACTTGCCATCATCGATGACAGCCTGCCACTGGTGCACGTGCTTCTGATATGAAGATCTAACACTGAAAGCCTGGCACTGCCAGTCCCTGAAGGCAGGCACACCAGCAGGACAAGAAGGATTTTCACAGACTCTATACTGCATCATGGGACCATGACACTCTCCTTCAAGGCCTGAACTAGAAAAGATGGCATAAATATCGTGCTTTGTTGTTGTAAAGTTTTGTCAAATGTACAGCACAGTTTATTTATCCTATGCACAAATTCAATTTAAATAGCAGATTTTTTTGTTGACACATAACATTAAGAAATCACTCACAAAAAGATCAAAGTCACAGAACAAAACATGTTTGCCTTCTGTTCATACTGGTTCCACTACATAAAAAGAGTCACAGAGTGCTAAACCATAATTTAAACTTGGCCTCACAGAACACTAGGACTACTAGGAGCATTCAGTAAGAAGAACCTCAGCCGCAGTTTCGATATAGTTTAGGTGATTTTTCTCTAGCTGGCCTGAGCCAAAGGTGCCACTGAAAGGAAGTAACACCTGCAGATTTGCTACCTCTCCTTTTTTACAAGTGTGGTGCTGTGAAGTTCAGACAATATGACTTGTTTCTTTCTGGTTGCTCCAGTTGTGCTTGCTGGTCCTAATGAACAAATGCAAAAGAACAGTGAACTACAGAAACTGGAGCTAATTGTTTGGAACCTTGCCTGGAAAAATGAATGAATGAAAGTGAAAGAAAGGCATCCCTAAATTCTAGAAATAACTTTTAGGCACACAGCTTGAGGTGGCATTTAGATGTCAGGAAATATGAAAGCATTCTGGACATCCAATGCTTCTGTTAAATGACCATACTTTTGTATAGCCATATCGAAGTTTTCCTGATGTTTTTTTACACAGCCTTCTCTTTTTTAATCCCTCTGTCTTTTTTGACATCATTTTTTCCCCAAATCTGCTATATTTTCTTTCATCTTTCTTCATTTTCCCCTTTGTTCTATTATTTTCCTAAATCATTTAGTCCACTCTACTCTGCCCAGCCCTACCCTACTCTTCCCTTCCCTACTCTTGTGTTGTCTAGTCTTCTCTCCACCTGTCTTCTTTACTCAGCTCTACTTTGTTCCCGCTTCTCTGCCTGCTTATTCTTTTTATTCTGGTGTATGAATGACTCAGGAAAGAGAGATACGGCACTGAGTAATTAAAAGGAGAGCATCTTTTATCTGACCACTGAGATATGGTGAAACAGACTCCATCCAAGCCGATGGTAAAACTCCCTTTATCTCTAATGGCACAAGGTTTTCATTTTCAGAAGACACAAAATCTAAATGTTGTTTCCAGATATTCTATCTAAACCTCTGTAAAACTCGTAGAAAGATCTCTTTGTAAAAGTTGCAATTCCTTGTCTCTCCAAATGAGACACAAGTCAGTCTTCTCCATCAAAAAACTGAAAGCCTAGAATCAGACACTCTACAAGTCAAAAACTAGGATTTTAATTTTCTGTTGCTTCCTCAGGTGAAGCTTAAAAAGGAGGTTGCATTCTCCCATTAATATTACCTAAGCTTTTGACAGAAGGAGAAAAGAGGAAAAATAGTGTTACCATGCAATAAAAAAACTCTGAAATACCTATTCTCCAAAGAGTTTTCCAGTATTCATAAAAAAATAATTTCTTATGTATAAGACAACTACATCTTAAGGGGCTTCATTACTCATAAGTTTTAAATTCTATTAAGAAATTCTGATAAAATAGCAATGAAAATCTGAAATTGTTTTTACCCAGGGCATTTGCGTTGTCGACTGCTGATTCCAGTGTTGCAAGTACGGCTACAAGTGCTCCATGCGCTCCACTCCCCCTCCATATGCTCCGCAAAAGAGGTCCGGTTGATACACTCTCCAGCCTTACACCACTACGTGAAAATTCAGCTCTTAGGTAAATAAATCAAGGCATATGCAAAATAATTTACTGTTCCACAAGCACATGGGAAGCACAACATAAACATTTCATTCCATAAACAGTTTTTGTGTAAGTCAGATATATTTTTTCCTATTGTTCCCCATAGCTTTTTTTTTTTTTTTTTTAATCCTAGTAAGTACAACAGCCAAAGACCTTTCTCTGGCTCAGTGGCCGAAGAGCAGATGCAACTCTTGTCCACAAGCTTAAGCACAAGTTCACTCCCAATAAAGGATGCCTCCTGGAATCGGCTGCTGGAAGTGGTCCCCAGACTATGCTGTCCCCTTCACTTGAGCCTGGACACTGCCTATGAAAGTGCTTTTGGGTCCAGCTCAAACCCACTGAAGGGGCTGTCCTCCAGCTGAACCGTACGGATGATCACAGCACAGCGTTGTTGTCAAGACTTGTTTGGGCCACTATTACAGTTCCCACATAATTAGTAGCAACTGAATTCCGCAGTGACAATTTCAATAGAAAGATACGAGATTCTATTCACAACTTGTATTCAGAGAGAGAATGGAAATCTTAGTAAGCTAGTGTTGAGAAAGCCAAGAGAATTTATGGCATTTATTTGAGTAATAATTATAATCACCTCAATAATCTTGTATGCATGTTGTTTCCCAAGACAACTGCAATTTCTCACTCAAAAACTATTCAATCACTATTGTAATGCTGTGTAACCTATGTCCATATCTGCATAACTCTGCAGAAACTAGTACTTTATCAACTTGTACCAGCTGAATATCTCTCCCATGTATCATGAAATTTCAGCAATCACAAAGCAATAAGGCTACAAGTACACAATGAACACTCAGTGTCATTAACATCAGTAATTTAACTCATTTCTCTTTGCACTCTGGATCACTGGTGAATTAATAAATTAATGAAAAAGTCTCATATTTTGAGGAATACAAAGCATTTCACTAACACAGTCAATAAACGCCTTTGTCACTTTTAGAACACACTTCTGTTACTTGCACTGCCTGTGCTAAATCCTTGTCTGTTGATCTTAAACTTCACCTGCAGTTTCAAACTGGTCTTCAATGATAAGTGATCTTAATTTTCTCTCTTAAATCATGGCATTCCAATGATAGCATAATCATACCACCTTTGAAAAGTCTTCACATAGGATGGCTCCATCATTATATTGGATTTGCAATCAGTAGCTACAAGTTTTGTAGTGCTCTTGTATGTTTCAGACAAAAAATGCTCATATTTATTTAAAAATATTCCTTTGGATATAACAGGCAAAATGGAATTTTCTCCAGAGGCAGCATCTGCCTTACGAAGAGTCTGAGAGATCCTTACAAACCCTTGACTTAACCAAGTTGTACAGGCTACACAAATGACATTCCCATCACTTCCTAAGATCATAAGAGGAGCACAAGACAACAATACTCCATTTCTACAATAGAAGTAAAACAAAACAAGGCCAGTGATTTGTGTAATCTGAAGCATATCTTGGACAGATAAGAAAGTAAACAAGAAGAAAAATCCCTTCTCATCCTCTGAGGTGCCTCAGTGATGACTGCTTAGTTTTTTACTGCCAGACATCAATAAGGTATCTCTGTAGCCTGACACAAGGCTCAATGGGTCTTTCTAATTAGAATCAGTATTTTGTCTTATCCTTACTAATTATTTACTTCCTACTCATTAAGCTCTACAATAAAGAGAATGGTGTCACCTTCCTCATTGGAGTTTCCCAGGACACATGTCACTACCTTATCATAATGCTCCCACTAGTATTGAGCCTAGAGTGAGTCCTCTCCAATGGGTTGCTACTATCACCTTTTTCAAGACAGACATTAATATGTAAAATGCACACTAATTTCGGGTGCCTGGTTCACGATGGCAATGATTTCACAATGAAAAATTCTGGTAGTCTTAATAAGAGGTGCTACTTTCTTATTCCATGCTATGGGCATGCCAGTCTCAACACAAAGAAAGCAACATAATTCAAATGCATGTCCCTAACTTTCCAGGTATTGACTTAAGGCAGAATATCAACTACACACATTTACCAGAATCAAAAAATCACAGCAAAAGTGATTATTTTAGAGATAGGAAAATGAATAAAGCCTTTTTTCCCTTTAGTATGCAAAATTATATTATCTGAACATTTTATCTTACTCAGTCTATTGATTTGTTTACTTTTTTAGGGGGATGATGACAGTACCGATGAATGTAATATGATTCAAAGAGCAAAACACTCCTGTGGGAGACTGCTATCCACACAATATCATGAAAATCCCAAGATATATGCATGCTCCTGCTCTGCCTTCTACTTGAGCTTATTTATCTTAATTTACACTTACATACAGAGATGACAGAGATTATTCAAACATGAAAGCTCTTTATGTTTAATGTAAGTCTGACTTCAGGTGACCATTTAATTTGTCTTTGATGGCATACTTTTAATGACATTTATCACACTTTTACATGTACTAACACTACAAATATTTCTGTACAAAGCTTATCCTTATCAGAAATCAATTCCTTCAATTAGACAATTTCTAAATCTTAAATCATAGCTGAGAACTCTGTATTTTTGAAAGTTTATATTTCTGTTTACAGCAAGCAGTGCAACAATGGTATTCCATTCATAAATAGCATACAAAAACCAGAAAGAATTTGACATAAACAGTCTAAGGATTAAAACACCTGTGGCTTTGGCTAACTTTTTTTTTAAAATTCAGTGTTTTTAGGAGAAATGTACTTTTAAATCATATTTATACTATATAATGTATAACGTATAATACACTCAAGTATATATGATTTTTATGATAATTGAGGCAAGTAGGAATTTTAAACAAGCACAAAGAACTGTTCAGCTTGTTTCATTAACTGTTAGGTTTTCAATACAATTATGTTGCTTTTCCACCAGAAACATACCTTTCCAGTGTCACAGTCTGTTCCATCCATTGGCGGATCCAGTTTAGTTTTGCATTCCTTCTCACTTTCCACCTTACACCACAACCCAGTGCAAATGACATGCTGTAAACCAAACACACGGGTAGGCACAAAATCTATCTTACACAAAATTACTTTCTTTACGTAATTCACTAATGTTGCCATAAAGTTATCAGTTTGATGGTACCGAAGTACTTTTAAAGACAGGTTAAACATGCACAAAAACCAGAGGTTAAACATGACCAGAAACCAAAGTGGGCAGATTCTGCTTAGACTTTTACTAATCACAAACACATGGAACAAGTCAAGCTAGTGTGTTTATAGTGAGGGGGAATAACACTGTTAAGTCTAACCCTTGGGGCCATGGTCTTTGCATACGGCAAATCTGACAAAGCACATAGGAAAAACTTTGCCCCATGATGTGAAGCAGCCACTGTGCAGATGTGCTCTCCCAGAGACTGAAAGAGGTGTGAGCTTTCTGAGAATTATTTTAAAAATTAATTCCTATTTTTACTCCTTTTATTTAGTGCTCATTCATTTTATGCAAAAGGGAGAAAAATAGCACTGTCATTAGCAACAAAAATCAAGGTTTTGAAATTATTCCATTTCTATATACAGGGACTAATGAGTCTTTGTGCAACTACATAGAACTATGTTCATGGGAGTTTTGTAAAAATATGTTTGTAAGAAACTTTGAGGCTTCTCGAGGACTTTCAAGTTCCCTTGTTCATACCATCCCAACGATTGCTGCTATCTTATGCTCTTCCAGTGACTCATAATTCCTCTAGAATTCATTCATTCCTCTAGAAATATCTCAAAAGGCAACCAATGCTGACATCCACAAAGACACTAAGTAAACTGACAAATCAGGATTAAATATTTTTGCTGGGAAGAAGAAGAGAAGGGGGATGAGAGGGATACTACTAGTCAGTAGTGAATTTTAGAGATGGAAAGAAAAGCTGCTCAGTCTGTCCCTCTGAAGCATCAGAACAAGATAGCTTTACCTTCTTCCAAAGAAAGTACAGCCTTGAAGTATGCTGGCTCACATTTCCCCAGATTTCCTTCCCACCTTTCCCTATTTTCCTCTATAAAGTCTTTCTTCTCCCATGGTTTTCAATCATGACTTCATTCTCCCGGCTCTCCTGTTCCCCCCTTACCAGTAAGTAAGTACCCTTACTGGGTGGAATTGAACAGAGGGCACACGGGGCTCAGTTGTGGCCTCCATGTTATTGCATGTGCAGACTTATTCCTCCCAGATATGTATAGTATCCCCAAAGAGGGGAAGAAGGATCAGGAGAGGGGGATGAGTTGCAGGCAGCATAAAACATAAAGATCAGCTGCTTTTGGAACCAGGGTTGCCAGAAGACATGCTTTTTATGACTTAAATTATTTGTTACCTTGGTAAACCTAGTAAGAGTCACTGTGCCTTCTACACTATGCATGAAAAATGTGTGATAAATCTCATGCTACCTTGAAAAAAGTCTTACAGCATGGGAAACATAATTCAAAGAAAGACTGTGTGTGAACCAAGGAACAGGTCAATTCCAGTGGGAGTCTTGCATGTAAAAATGTCTGTAACATCAGCTTTCAAAAAAAATCAAAGATTGTAGAGGTCTGAAACATTGCATAGAAAGAGAAAGGATGGCAGCAGACTCACCCCTCGTTCATCTGGTAACAGTTTTGTGCTGAAGCTGACTAACAAGAAAATAGTTTGCCTTTGCATATCCTAAAATATAGCTACAGACGTCCTATGCTGTTCCTGGATAATTTTAACAAGTATTTTTCAAATATCAAACTATAATTTCAGTTCTTGTTCAAGGGAGAAAAAGAATTTATTCTTTTACACTTTTTTTAAACAGGCACTTTAAGATATAACTTCAGAGTCGAGAACTAAATTTAGCAAGACTTCAGTTTTGGAAGACAATGGAGGTGAGACAGAGTATCAGATGTTCATGACAAAGTGCTTCCATACCAACTATGAAATGACAGACTATACTGTTGGAACAACTCCACAAAAATATATGCTAATTCAAGGTTCCTAATTAAATAATTTTTCTCACATCCCTAAATCTTCATTTGTCAATGACTAGATTTGAGGAATAAAACAGGTTTTAAAAAAGTCAATTTTTCCTTTATGTCATCACATTTTGAAGTATTTTTTTTTCTTAAACACTTTGATCTTGTGCTCAATTTCAGTTGCATACAACTGCAGAACGGCTGACAACAAACCTACAGTTCCTCAGAAATCTGCAAACAATTCTTCTAAACTTAGGAAGACAGGAAGTCAGATTTACAAGGATTTCGGTGCCCTAACACACAGATGCACTTGAGCTGTGTAAAGTAAATCAAGTAAATGCAATCAAGATGCTTGACTTGCTAATGCGCTTTGTATACATCTCCATGTTTCTGCAAATACTTGTATATCACCTCCTTATGAGCCATGAACCTATCTCTCCCAGCTGGAAACATCTTTGAGCCTCAAGTGAACTGTATTCTAAAAGCACTCACTTCTCTTCATCATTTTTTAAAATAAGCATTCAATATTAATATAACATTTAATCCTAGACTTTGAGATCCCTCAAACCCAAGAAAATAGAGATAACGAATTACTAAAATTGGAGGATGAGTTGTAAGTTTTTTGCTCGGTTTTCCATTTCAGTCAAATAACAAAAGGACTCTTTAGTTACTTTTTAGTTACTCTTCAGATTGTACTTGTGCTGCAGAAGTAAGACAAAGGGAGATTACTGTTATCATTTAACCTTTGACATTTGGGGATTTCTCCGTGTGGCTGGAAAAAACTATGATACACAACTTGTTTTTTTGCATTAGCAAGTTGCAGTGCTGCAGATCAGGAGTGATTTGAAAACTAACAAAAATGTGGTGGTCAGTGTCAATATTACAGTCACTCCAAAATCAGAGCACAAACTTCTAAACTAGAAATTTACTCCTCTTGGGAGAAAGTTTCATTCAATCAAAATCAGGATAGCTAACATTCATGTTCACAGAGGTTTAGGTTTACTAGTTATCTATGATAAACACAGTTCAACAGCCATTATAGTTTTCTAGGCTAGCGAAGGGAAGCAAGAGTTATTGGAGATTTAATTGTGTGCATACTGGAAAATATTGCCAAGCACATACAAAGGATTTTTCTTAAGAAATCATGAGTTTTTAACCACAAAGACTAGTAAAATAAAACATTAAAGTCACAATGCACTACAGATATAGCAGAGGTCATTCCAGCTTTGGGGGATTTTTTTGAATTAAAAGAGTGGGGCAGGTCTGTTTGCATTAGAGGTATGCTTTTCCAATCATACAAGCATCTGGAAAGAAGGTCCAGTTGAGAGGAAAGAACAGACAAAAAGAGCATTTCAGAACTGGATTTGTGTAAAGTCAAGATTGTTTAAACTGTGGTGGTGGAGATGAGGACAGATATTTCACCAGAGCTATAATATTTCCATGACTTTTGTTCTTTTCATTGTGATCTTCCCCTGAAATGCCTTAAAAATCACCATGAAATATAAGCAATCTCCTACTTCTTTGCAAAGATCACAGCTGTGTTATGACAAGAATTGTTTTAGTGGAACTGACTAGATAGCATTCGCATCCTGGACTTTAATCTTAAAAGCCAACATTTAATAGTTCAACAATTATATTAAACTGTCAAGTTCTACAATCACATTTAATCATCAAGAACTATTTCTGGGCCATGATCTCACTATCTGTTATGTGGAACAATGTTAAGGTCTAATTGATTCATGTGTGAGACATCGTGGGCATAAAAGCAAACTTGGCTCCCTTACAAGATAAGCATGGTGACATGGTATAAATCTTGTACTCTGAGATCCACTCACACTTTTCTCAGGCTCTATAAATTTTGTCTAGGGTATGAAAAAAAAGTCCTCGAAATAAAGATGAAAAGGAAAAAAAAAAAGTCTGGACACCATTCATGAAAGAGGAGTAGGAGGGGCTCACTTAGGAAAATACAGGAGTAGGCCCTCAATGGTCCCTTCAGTCCTCTACTTTAGCCATTAAATCATAAAGAGGAATTCCTGATAGCAAGGGAAAACTATTGGCATCTGCAGTGGATCTCAGAGGTTGCCATGTAATGTGTCTGTGAATTATCCTAAAGTGCTGCTCTGTAACAACATTTGTAGAAAGTTACATCTCAGCAGAAATGCATTATTGATTGTAGCACTGATATTTGTAGATTATTTTTAGATCACAATGAAAACTGTTTTCCATCATTACTCAATTGTTTTCTTAGTTGAATAGCTGTTATATATGAAACATACTTGCTTATTGTAAAAGACTGCATGTAAGTCTGGTCATCAAATTATCTTCCAGTCACAAAAAAAGACTCTGACATAGTTCATAATTTATCTTTTACATAGTTACAGTTATGAACTGTTCAGCAACTAGAATGTATCCAAGAAATCCTGGGCTATAAATTGTTGGATTTACTGAAGTTTAAATGAACCTTAAACGAATATGTTTCTGTCTCATTTCCTGGCTTATGGACAACAAGTGTAACCACAGTAAACTGCCAGTTACTGGTAAAGTAGAAGAGAGTACACAGAGATAAAAAAAAGTAGCTTGGATTTCATGGAAAATTCAGTGATTGCCAATGCATAATAAAATAATTATATTAACACATTAGTATTGTAACTAATGAAATCCTGTATTCAGTTTAGAAAAGTCTTGTTGGTTTCTCTAACAGCAGCCACAGTAATCTGCACAATCAACCCAGTGACCTTTGAATCACCTTCATAATATGTACAATGCAATTATTTGGCAGGTTAAATTAAACATATTTGTTATTTCCACCTAACATCCTTGTATTTCAGAGGGAGATGATAAAATTAGCCACTGACTAACTGCACTTCGCAGTTAGACAATGCTGATGTTGCACAGTCCATGTGCTAGAACTCATGAAGTATTTCTGGAAAGTTTATATAGCTTGGTTCTAGCCCAATTTAAATTGCAACTTTTTTTTTTTCTTTCTTTCTCTTCATACATAGGAGAAACATATGTAAGAGCAGGGTGGCTTTCTTATCCTTTGGGCTGTGCTCTATCCATTGCTCTGAGTTTCCTGTTCATCGTAGAAATCTTATTTAATAGGACTAGGATACCGTAAACTTCCCTAAAAGAAGAGTTAAACTTAAGACCCACATCAGGGAACAAAAGGAAATCTGACTATAGTGCCTAAGCTTGCTGTACCTAGCTCTTCAGGTCTGATGATCAAATTTCTTGGACTTTTTTGTTGCAGGGAAGGTGGGAGTGTAATTTTTGCTTCCAGACAATGCAGAGGAAAACCAACAAGGTGACTTTACAGAGGCTGGCAGTGGAGCTTTGGAGAACTTCTGCCGCAGTGTCCTCATCAGATTTTCTCAATTCTGTCCTTAGTGTTTTTTAATAATTTTTATGTGAACCTTTTATTTAATAGGTACAAAGCTCTTAAACATGCATTACAGTAATTCTGTGCTTCAGTATTTGCTTGTCTGTTTTCCAGCTCAGGGTTACTAGTTTTGCAGAGGATTTTGGTGAAACTGCAAAAGGTTCTTCCCTTTACTCTCCTCACAGAAACTGTTATCAAGTTCTCTTTTTCTTACTGTTAAGACTATAAGGTTATCAAGCAACAGACCTGGTTTATGAAGAAAACTGAAAATTAAATTTCAGTTTGTCAGAAAAAGAACAGTTGAAAAGGCTACTGGCCTACTTGCATCATTACTAGATTCTTTCTTCAAAGCAGCCCTGCAAATCTCTGGATTTAAGTTACAATTCTGTCTTAATACAAATATTTAATATGAAATTTCCTAAATTAACCATTTTAATATAAAATAATGATCCATTAAGTGGGAAAAAAGAAGAATGATATGTGACTTAGCTGAAATGTGCCCTCTCACATACAAAATTCCAGAAGAGGAGAAAATGATTGAAGATTATTATAAATAGACAGTTAGGTACCAGCACTGAGATCTTAAGAACTCTCTGTGCCAACAGGTGAACTGTTGCAGTGTTAACTGAATTTAACTTCCTAACATTTCTAAAATAATAATGAAATCCAAAGAAACCTTGGAGTCAGGACCTCAACAGAAGAATATCCACTGCATCTGTGAACAAAACACAACAGGCATGGGACCACTTGGCTATCTGAATTTCAATGCCTGAATTAGAACTGAACACAAGGCTACTAAAGGAGGGGAAAGGCCCAGAGAAATGAACAACATCTAAAGGTACTATGTAACAGCAAGTCTCCAGGTTTGACCATCTATCTCTTAAATTACTTTTGAAATTCTTTTACTTGGTAAAGAAGACCTAGCTAATGCTGTACCATTTTCTTGTTCAAAATAGGTTTCTAGAGAATGAGAACACAAAATCTCATCTTTTAATTGAAAACAAAGTACTAAAAACTAATAAACAGATTGAAATTCATGAAAAAAGCACTTGGAAGGAATTAAGAACATTTGTAGAATCATTACATTGTTTTCTACTGCTCATCTCTCAGAGTGAAAACGTTTCCAACAAGACAGGTTGGAATAATAATAACCAGTAATCTGCAGTTCCTTTTTTATCATCTATGACACTCTCAGCATGCGGTAGTCATACAGGTACTGCAATGTTTCCTTTGAGAATCTTTAGGATAACAGTTACCCTCACTTAAACTTCCTAAAGAAAGAGTACTATGAGTACTAAGACTACTACATCCAAGCTGAAAAGATCATGAGAACTTAAGAACTAGAGGAGTAAGGAATTACATTTTGATATTAAATACTCATGCCCTTTCCAGACCATCTGTCTACTTTGACTCTGATGAGATTTTATTTCAAAGCTCCTCCTAGCCCCTGTTGTATCAACCCATACTCCATGGTCTTTACATATTTGTAATATCATCTATCCATCTTGGCTTGGTTACTTTCCCAAGGGCATCCAACATGTTTAGTACCTGTCCTGTTGACATTAAAGAAGGACAATTTTTCTGTTAGAAACATTCTTAAAATGCTTCTTCAATCAGACGCTTACTAGTATTAGGCCATAAAATTATGAAGAGCTCTTCAATTTTGTTACTCTTTCTTTTCAAGGTTAATATATAGTGACACTGTTTCATGCAATGGCATGAAGCAATGGCAGCAAACTCCCTTAAGTACTGGGACTCCTACTGCCATGGCACTGCACAGCTCTGCCTGGGCTCACAGGGGACCTGCTGGGAGGCAGCATATATTCAGTGGTAGAGAGAACCCAGCTAACATCACTATTCTCCCTTGGAGCTAGCACTGGCACAGCATAATCTATTGAAGGTCAGATATGGACCTTCAATACCCAAAACATAATGAAACGGAATCTATACATGAAATCTGGTCCTGGTGGAATTAATTGCCAATATTCCATTCACTGCAATGAGATGACTTCACACTATGACATTTTCTATTTCTAAAGTACAAGGAATATATCAGTGGTATGACATGATACAACATGATTCAGGATGTTAGGAGATCCAAAGCAACTTTTACAGCATAAATAAATGAAAATGTTCATATTAGCTTCAGAAAGCGAAGTGTAAACTTCTTGTTTCAAAGGTGCTACATTCTCTTTCTCTGAAAACACATGCACAAAAATATCTCTCATTGAAAAACGAGTTGGTAGGTATATTTTCTGAGGTAAACACCCATCATTACCTGCATTTCTTGGCAAAAGTAAGCCGTTGGTCCAAAAAGAATCTGACACTGTTCATCTGCAGTGTACGTCATTCCTGGGAGCTTGGAGGGAATAATCACAGAATTGAGGCTCTGAGGATTCGTCTGTAGCAGACAGTTACTGGCCTTTGACCTGGTAATATGCACAGTTTAACTTTGAGGACTGTTTAACTGTTGCAAGTAAATTCTCAACAGACATATTTATGTACTTACCAAAGGAACAGAGCTTTAGGGAACACATCCTATTTAAGAGACACAGAAAATCTCTAACAAATATCTCACAGTAAATTTCTATTTTAAAAAATCACATAATGTAATTATACTGCATGGATTGATATTTAATAGCACAACATAGATCAGAGAATCTACATAATGATCATATGTCATTCACTGTCAAACATTCTTCAATACATTTCAAATTAACAAATTGTAAACATATTCATATATATAAAATTGTATATATAAATATACATGTATAATCATATGGATTAACGCATGAAAATACCACAAATAATTGCTGAAAACAGATTTTAATCTGTCATTATTATATAGTTCATGATGACTTAAATTGTTTTGATGTATTATGCAAACACAAATTTCCCACAGAAGTGGTAAAAATATTGAAAACTTTTTATTTCAGGATATTTATTGCAACTATTTGTAAATTACACACAGTAAGAGTTCTTTTACTTGAATGACATACCTGAGAAATCTTTCTAGATCTTCCCTGCTGCACGGAGACCATGAAACATCCCCAAGATTCTGTCCTTTAATCCATTCCCCAGACATGATATGAAGACCATCTGCACAGGATGGGTGATCATTGTCGTGGTTTATCCCCATGCTGAATTTTGAAGTTATTAAAAATAAATCAAAGCACAACAAAATAACAAGTTGTTGTCAAAATGTTTGTAAGTTAAAACTCTTGCAAGAAGCTATGAAAAACTCATTAATATTACATATAGGATATATAGTTTGATTTTTTTTTCCATTACACCTTTCATAGACATGCATGGAAACGTGTGAAAGACAATTCTATACTGAAAGGTAAAAGTGAAGCATCATCACTTGATGAGAAATATTACATTCTAATCAGCTCTTCAATATATACTTTGGACAACTTTTTGAGTGTTCATAACTGCATAGCTGCTGCAGGTTTAATGAACTGTACTTCTATCACTAATGGGCAACAAAAATACTTGAAGTTTACTTTTTGAGATCAGTGAATTGCTTGATATTTTGGCAGTGATTCTATCTTAATTCCATATGGAACTGCTTTGTTAAAATTTTATAGAACAGCAAAATGCTTCCTAGTTTAATGTATAATCATTGTTTCTAAAGAAAAACCACCAAATGTGTTTTCAAAGTCTACTGTTAGAAATAACACTGACGAAGCAATTCAATGGCTTTTGATTTTAAAGACTCAGCACCCAAATGCATCGTTCTCATATAGGGTACTGCAATGAAAAATTCTACTAAAAATCTGCTTGAAATTGCTATTTTAACTGAAGACTCACTGTTGCTCTCATTCACAACCAGTAAACAGAAAGGAGGAAGAAAGACTTAAACAAAAATAGTTTTGAAAATTAGCTAACTGTATACATGCTTGACTGGCATTAAGAGAAATAAATGAAATACTCTCATCTGTTTTTGAAGATTTGTAAATAAGGATGAGACTATACTGGATTCACTGGATTCAAAGTGGTCCTTGAATTTTCCAGCCCTACTCCGCGTTGCAGAAAAGCAAAACTTTAGAGTGAATACAGCTTTATACCTTGTTGTCCTGGGTTAAGCAGAGACAGAGTTAACTTTCTTCATAATAGCCAGCAAGAGGCTGTGTTCTGGATTTGTGCTTAGAAGAAAGCTGATAAGAACCACTGTTTTGTGCTGCTGCCAAGGTCGGCAGACGGGAGAAGAAGCACAGCTGGTTGCTAGCCTAGG